AACATAAATGTAAATTAATATTTTATTTTATTATTTTAAAACAAATGATAAACAAAATGGTATTGAGGTTAAATATTTATATAGGTTTTAACATATTATTCCAATTTACAGCTTAAGCCTCCGCTCAGTATTAGAAAATTATAGTTATTATATATACCTATAGTAAGTAGTTTTATGTTGTAAAAAACAACACAACATGATAGTAAGATACGTCTTGCACAGTTACACGGGATCATTACATACAATAATATAGTTTAAAAACCAAAAAAATAAATAAATTTTTTCCAAGATATTAATAAAAAAAAACGATATTTTAAATTTAGGTTTAAAAATTTTACTACTTTTGACGGGAATGTGGGACTAGGAATTATGACAGGGGGGCTAAGCCCCCCTCCCCCAAGACCCCCACTAGTTACGCCTATGCGTTGCACCCACGGAATGAAAACCACATGCCACCAACGACAACTAAATCGAATYTAATAGCGATTTTATTATGCGGCTATGCGGCGTATAAATATATTACGTATACAAATACCACGGCAACGGTGACAACAAAAATGGGTCGGCGCAATTTAGATTTTAGGTAGCACGACGACAGATTCGACATAAGACGACTGAATACTACTAAGATATGTAACGTCCCGAGGCTGTAGACCTTTTTTTCAGCGGTGGAAGCCGGTTCTGCACGGAACGAAGCCGGGGAGTGGGGTTCTTTTCTAGAAGACTCATGACCAAATAACTATTGTCAACGCTAGAGTCGGCACCGAATATTAGTTTTACGGAAATTCTTTAAAAAAAAGTCAAATTGGCTTTGAACAAGGATAAAATTGCTATTAATCTTAAAGATTAAAGTTGTATTATATGTACAATATAAATTATTTTACTAAAATAATYTTGTTATTAAATAGAAGATTATTATCAATATCATTAAAATTTAAAATTAAATTATGCAACCAGAAATTATTGATTTATTCGATTTAAACCTACAAGAGCTCAACAGTATGGATTTTACTTAACGCATAATTGCATAAATAACTATGGATAAACGTACAAATATAGAAATAAATAGTCTATATGTTATAATATATTAAAGACGATACCTAAATCACATAAAATTTGTATTAAATAGAGGGGTTAGATACAAAATAAAAAGAATACATTAAACTTACTGAAATTTAAATGTATTTAATTATCATACAAATAAAATATGATWGTTAATTTATATTCAGTTGTCATTCAATCAGTTTAATAGATTGTAAAGTTATAGTTAGCAAGTCATTTCAGGCGATAATGTGAATAATTGTTTCAGATGTTTTGTAAACGTTATTAATATTATTATTTTTTAATTTTTAATTTAATTGTTTCAAAAAAAT